CGGAGTTGCCACGAGCAAACGGAACTGTAAAAGGATTCAATATATGCATGAAAGAAGCCATACGGGCCGGTCACATCGAAGGGAAACCAATGGGAGACGCAGCCACGACCTGACTTCAGTCCTACCGAGCGAGCCCACATACGACAACAAAGAAAAGCCAATTTGCCGGCAGCTATGCACGGGGGACGCAAGATGCGAACAAGATTACCATTGGAGACTTACTGTGACGACATCATTGACCGAGAACAAGTGATAAACACTAAAGCTAAAATGGTTTACAGAACCACGTGTGCCAAGGAACATCGTTTAAAAGTCGGAGATCAGGTTGTTGTAATGCAGAAAAGGAAGAATAAGTTAACAATTGTGTTTAACCAAACGCCGCTAACAGTTACAAACATAAATGGATCAATGATAAGTGCAAGCAAAAATTAATGATCAATAACAAGAGATGCTTCAAAGTTTCGCAAGTTATATGGGAGTCTACCCCGAAGTAGTAAAAGCGACGGTGAGGAAATGCACGAGGAGGAAAATGATACAAACGAACAATTCGACAACGACGAACACGAGGAAGACGAAAACTATAATGAAGTTGATATCGAACAAGATAACGAAGGAGCAAACGACGTTAATATCGAACCACCAATGGCAAGGCCGGAACGCGAAAGACAGCCAGCAGCTTGGCTCAGAGACTATGAAACATAAAGGAGTTAGAAAGTCGAACAGTCGTGAAACAAATATAGTTATTTTTTGATATTATGTTTTGTTGCTATGTACTAAACGGAACATTAAGTACTTTAAAGTATTGGAGGGATGTGGTATTCACATGATCAGTACACCCTGTAAACGATGGTATTGTGTGGACACATGTAATATATAGAAAGAGTATTATGGATGTAAACTAAATATAATTTGAAACAAATTACAAGACTCTGTCTTTATATCAGTGGTTATCATGTAATGTATCACAATCACATACTTGGCATGTATGTATGTATGTATGTATGTGCATGTAAACTTTTATTTAAAAGCAAAAAGGAAAAAACGACGCTAGCCTCATCAGCTAGAAGCTGGTTTCCATGAGAGGCGTCGGAACACACTTGAATAAATAAAGTTATCTACAAGAATATTTACAATATATTTACAAGATTACGAAGAAATAAGTAAGTTTTGTATCAAGACTATTAATATTCATTTTAAAGGTATATTCAGATTGAGCTAGTTTGGCTTGCAAAGGGAGGCTATTCCAATGTTTCGCCCCCGCTAAATTTAAAACTATTTTCGGGGAATGCTCTTTTGGGATGTGGGAGAACCAAATCAGTACTCGGATTTCTAAGATTATAATTAATTTCCAGAGCACTAATCCTAGTGAACGATTCTTTCAAACTCGATGCACCTTGATTATTTAAAATTCTATAGATTAAGATTGCTTTATTCCTTTTACGTCTCATTTCTAGTGCTTCCCAACCAAGATTTTCAAGAACGTCAGCCGATGGAATTTCATAACTAGCACCGGCAATTATTCTGGCCGCACGATTTTGAAACTTTTGAAGTTTTTCCTTTAAATACGCACAACAATTATCCCATAGGGGAGAACAGTAATCAAAATATGGCTGTATAAGGGCGTTATAAATCAATCTCATAGTTTCAATAGGGACAAACAGCTTGATTCATTTCATAACTGCTATTCCAGCGCCCACTTTTTTGCATATTTTCTCAATATGTTTGTCCCAGAATAATCTTTTATCAATTATCAGTCCTAAGCATTCAAAGGAGTCGGCTGAAGGGACCGTTTTCTCATTCCGCATTACTGGGGAATCTCGAACCTTTTCTTTTAGATTTTGTGTCGATCCAATGATCATTACCTTCGTTTTGGTGGGGTGGTGTTGTAATTTACTTATAACGAGCCGTTTAATAACTTGGTTTAAATCGGAATTTAATTTCTCTATTAGATCTGCATATACAGTAGAAGATGCAAATATCTGGGCGTCATCAGCCTATAAACAGGGAGTAGTTTTACTGAGACACTCTGGTAGGTCATTTATGTAGAGTAAGAAGAGCAATGGTCCTAGACTAGAGCCCTGCGGCACACCGGTTATAATATTTTTAGGAGAGGAAGATTGCCCATTAATATTGCACACCTGTTCTCTATTCATAAGGTACGACTCAATCCAGCCTAGCTCAATACTAGTAAGGCCAAATTGTGTTTTCATTTTGTGTAGCAATATTTTGTGATCAATTGAATCAAATGCTTTTCGTATATCTAGGAAAGCAACTCCGATGAATTTCCCACAGTCCAAATTTTGATGCCATTCATCACACATCTGTAATAGTGGTGTCAGCGTTGGGTTCTTTGGCCGAAAACCGGATTGATATTTTGATAAAAGGGAGTTGTCATTAAGAAATTTGTATAAATGATCAAAAACAGACCTCTCTAGTATCTTACTTATGACAGGCAAGATCGAAATTGGCCGATAATTTTCGCATAATCGTCTATCGCCGGATTTGTAAATTGGTAATACGCAAGCCTTTTTCCATGCCTCAACAAAAAATCCGGTTTTTAACGACAGATTAAAAATCCAAGTTGTTGATGGTGCAATAATATCTGCAGCTATCTTGAGAGCACGAGAAGGTATCATATCGATGCCAGTTGCTTTTGATATTTTAAGATTGCGCAACCCAGCAGTGACCTCTTCCACTCGTATTTCAGAAAACTTGAAAATTTTGCTCGAGCGTGGGGTATTATTAGTCTTTGTTGCATGCATCGAGTCACTGCAGGACTCAGAAGCTAATTTTGAACCAATGGAGACAAAAAACTCTTAAAAGTTTCCGCAATTACACAATCATTTGAAGTGGAAGAATCATCGACACAGAGTGCCTTAATGTTATTATCTTTCGAGGTCTTACCAATAAGGCTGTTAATTACTGACCAACTTTTCCGCACATCATTAGACTGAGCACATAATTTAATTTTATCATAGAATAATCTTTTCTTGGCATGTAGCGCTGACGTGCACAAATATACAACGTTCCGTACATTTCCTATTCATTTTACACAAATGGCGGCATGGAAAAACGACTGTGGTTCCATGAACATGAAACTATTACGCGAGGCACCTTTCTTGTCAAAATCAAATCCCTGCACTATTTCTAGTTGGGAAATTTCGAATTTCCTTCAAGTGAAACAACATAGAAAAATTACACAATAAGTAATGGCAGCAGGTTCACGTAGGAATGCAAAGTGTGCCAGATTATTTGCCTATTTCCGGTACGGCTACCATGTTGAAAGAAAGCCTGCAGACTATATTTTACCGGAGTTCACTCACTACTGGATATCACTAAAACCGCTGCACGAATATTAAGCCTGCAGCACACACGAGAGGTATCTCCTGAGGAAAATGTAGGGCGATTCTCATTTTAATTTGACATGTATTAAAGAGACGGTAGGCGAGTGATATAATTGTTGCTAGATGGCAAATCAACAAATTTATAATATTGCGCCGTAGCAAAGCTATGAGCAGCCAGCTAAACTAGTTCTGATATTTAATATAAATCTTTTAATTGTCAATTCTTCTTGTTTAGTTTTAGCCGGTGACTTTCTTCAGGACGTCTCGAAATTAGAATTGAAGCCTTCTGCACGTTATGTGAAAACTCAAGTTCACTGAACATTTAAAAAGTGATTTCTTTCAAATGCTAACTCATCTCTTTAAGTTTTGAGAAAAACAGAAAAAACTGATTCTTATGCTAACCAAAACGTACTCGTGACATATATAGGCAAATGTTGTTTGCGGCATATAAGAAGCCAATCGATTGGTTAAGGAGAAAAAACACTTTTGCAACATATGCAACAACTGATTACAGAATAATGTAGGCAAAAAAAATGCATTTTGGCCCAAAAAGGAGAGGGAAATTATGCTAAGAAGCCGACGATGTTTGGTGTTAAATGCTTCACATCGTGGAATGTTCTGCCTATGCTGTTTCTGCCAAAATACTGTTGATTGTTATGTTGAATTGGTTCTGGTGAAAACATGGCGGCGTAGGGTCGTGTGTTGTGCATCATCCGCTTTCGGATATTTTTTGTACTGTATATTTTTGAATTTCGACATATTCAGATTTCAACTTCAAATGAATCACCGGCTTTGTATACTAATAAAATTATTGTCACCCATAACCATGTAAAACCTATCTCTGTGAGAATATCTTTAAAACGCAGACACAGAGTTCGAGTACATAATAAACAAAACCCGCGGAATCTAGTTAATGTAAACAATACGAAAGGTTAATCTCGAAGCAACTCGTCACTTATTAACAATAAAACTGCTGTTATCAGTAACCTCCCTTATTTCCAGTAATGTAAATGCAAGGTCTATTATAAAAAACAAGACTGAAGTTTCAATTGACTGTTTTGCAGCTCCAGGCAGCAATTCTTTGCAAGTCCTCATTCCACTGGATTTCAGCACTTTGCACGTCCTTCACTGCGAAAGACAAAAACGACTTGGAATCATCAACGAATGACTCGAGTAAGCACGTATTGGGAACATCATGTATATCGTTAATGTAAATATTAAATAGTGCTGGACTCAATATTGACCCCTGTGGCACACCGTGCGTTATTTCACGTGGTTCGGACAATTCACTATCAATCCTTACTGACTGGATCCTGCCAGTCAAATAGCTTTTAAACCACTCAAGAGCGTGTTTCGAAATTCCAAATAAATAGAGCTTTCTTAAGAGCAAAGGATGGTTCAAACTATCGAACGCCTTTGACAGGTCCAAACGTATGACAGCAGTAACAGTTTTTTTATCAAAAGCGTCCAGATATATATCCGCTAGGAAAGTATTTAAAGTTTCCGTTGAATGAAGTTTACGGTTCCCACTTTGATGATTTGTTAGGAGTTTTCTACTTTCCATATAATCATTCATTTGCTTGAGAGCCACCCGTTCACACACCTTTGAGAGTACCGGCAACAGCGAAATGGGGCGATTGTCATCAGCCACTGGGTAGTCTCCTTCCTTCAATACAGGGGTGACCTCAGATCTTTTCCACGCTGTTGGAAAAACAGAAATCAGGAGGGAACTGTTAACTAAATCTGTAATTATAGAAAGAATAGAGGTTAACGAATCCTTAATAAGATTTACCGTAACTTTATCCCAACTAGGTGCTTTATTTGGTGAAAAATGATTAACAATCTGTCGTATTTCCTCCGAGGTGACCGCGTAAAATTTAAACTCATCAAGTTTCCCACTAACAGCGTTTTGAGAAATACGAAGAAGGCTTGAAAGAAGCTGTTCGAAAATAATTTGAAATAATTTATGCTCAGTTCCCAAAT